GCCTTCAGTGATCTGATTAGTTGAAGCTTTCATACACGTCCAATCGCAGGGCTGTTTACAAACGGAAAACGGAGAGACTGTTCGGGAGAGCTCGTGAAAACTCGACGATAAGGTACCTGAACGCCCCTAAAATTTTCTCAACGGATTTAGACGATTCACAAAAATGATCAATTTAAGAAATAAAACGGCGGATTTCCGCGGATCCGCGGAAAATTGCCATGTATGGTAACACTAATGGCCAAATCATTTGGCCGTTGGTGTTAGTTACAGTGTCATTTTTCATTTAATGACACGAGCAACTATATACAGTAAAACCGAAAGGAAACAAACATTACCTGCAACACAGTATGGCAGGAGGGATCGATGAAGTCGCATTGGGGTCTCGGTCTCCAACATAACTGAGCAACAGACAAGCACTATTAACTCAACGGATAAAAACTTCCATTCAACAAAACAAAAATTAAATGTAGCCCGGTCTTTGGAAAGACTGGACTGAACACAAAATAATTGTTATGTGGGCTTTATTCCCGACTGAACAATACAACATTGTACAGCGTTAAGATGAAAGACTGACATGTTAACTGAATTTTAAGAATTCGAAAAAAAGGGATCTAAGAGATCAAAGAAAATTATCTACCAGATTAAATAAAATTACACAGTAATTAACAACAGCAGTGGCTTGGTTGATAGGGAAAGAGAAATAAAAATACATTATTTCCAAGCCACAACATTCCATGAAACGTAAAAGTGCAGACCGACTAATCATTACAATTGTAAGTTGAGGGGTTCGTAGGTTTTGGATGGATTGCTCTACGTTCGGAATGGGCAAAAAGGAGAGATGGACTTCGTATGAACACAGTTCTTTTTATTTTTTTCAACGTCTGCCTCGTAACTCTCCAACGAACACACCTCCTTTCGGTAATGACCACACTTCCTGCTTTTCTTTGCCAATCAGATGTAAGCAACATAATAATATTTCAGAAAGTATTAAACAGAATATAATTTAGGTAACTGTAACATAAAAGAATGTAATGCTCAAATATAAAATGATAATAATTGACATAATGGATGTCACTTAGGTCTAGAAACCCGCAGAGGGCTGAATCGAGTCGTGCTCATTCATTGATATTCATGCTTCTATAATATTGCAAAGAAGAAGAAGCCAATGAGGAACTTGAAACTTGCCTCCCCATAATGATACAATTCAAAGGTAGCATATTTTCACGACCATTCGGCGCACCGTATTGTTGGGCGCAGTCTCAGTAACGGGTGCTATTTCTGTATTTGACACATACACAAAACGCACTGTATTATTGGGCGCAGACAGGCATGGTAAAACATACGCCAGCTTAAATATACGGCATGCATGCACGCACGCTAAAAACACGTTAGCTTAAAGCATACGGTAGCAGCTAAGACATACGGACACACGCTAAAAATACGTTTTTAAAAAGGCAACTGAAGCAAAACTGAGTTCGGTTGTACTTTTTTTAGCCATTTCACAATGTACTCACGCGACTGGTACCTGCT